CGGCCCTACACCCCCCGAAGTGTGCCAGGCATGCTAACATCAAACAATAGCTGCGGCGTCTACGTCAATTTGCTACGTGAAGGAAAACTCGTTACGAGCCACGACGGCTGATAAAATACGCGTCGAAGACGATGCTGTCGCAACAGCGTTCGGCCAATGACAGAACAGAGTGACAGCACCGCATCGACAATCTCGTGACAACACAAATATGGACATGTAGGAAACGAGGCAAACTGCCGGTGGGCGGGGCCACTCGTTTATTTAAGGAGGAAACAAAGAGGGCGGGGATTACAAAGCTTGTGGTCATATTTTAAGTGTTCTATGTACAAAAAAATGTGGACCACGTGACAGCACACACACACATTCATACATACACACATACACAGACTCATGCACATATACAGTTGTGATAATCTAAAATTACACACACACACACACACACACACACACAGTTGTGATAATCTAAAATTCCTGATGGCGTTAAGATTTTACAGTTGACAGGGTGCATTTGTGAGCTAGCATGAGCCGCCAGCAGCACACGCTCTTAAAGCCGTGAAGTTTAACGAGCGTCTGGTGAACATGAAAGGCTCAGTAGCTTGTCCAATAAGAAGCAGGTGTGCGGCGCCGTAATGAGGGGGCCCGGCGGGCGAGCGGGCCTACACACCCCCAAGTGTGCCAGGCATGCTAACATCAAACAATAGCTGCGGCGTCTACGTCAATTTGCTACGTGAAGGAAAACTCGTTACGAGCCACGACGGCTGATAAAATACGCGTCGAAGACGATGCTGTCGCAACAGCGTTCGGCCAATGACAGAACAGAGTGACAGCACCGCATCGACAATCTCGTGACAACACAAATATGGACATGTAGGAAACGAGGCAAACTGCCGGTGGGCGGGGCCACTCGTTTATTTAAGGAGGAAACAAAGAGGGCGGGGATTACAAAGCTTGTGGTCATATTTTAAGTGTTCTATGTACAAAAAAATGTGGACCACGTGACATAAAGCTGGAAATAATCGAAATAGTTAAAAGACAACAAAAAAATACTCTGTGTTGACAGGCCGTCTCTCATCACTTCTTGTTGGCGTTGACTCAGCTACGCACACTCGCTTAAGCAAAGCATTCTGGGAGATGGACATGACTTAAGTGGTTTCCTTGCTTCTTGACATTTAGCGTGTAGCTTAAAACGTCGCCTCGTTTTGTGAACCAGTGGCATACCAAAACTGTGGTTGCAAAGACACACGTCAAAATAAGACAAAAGCGTGAAGAAACAAAAGAGCAAAAAATACAAATAAAAACTAAAACAATTCTTTTTTTTTTCCCCACATCCGGATGATTGTGACGATTAAATGTTAAATAAATGTGTGAACATATTTACTGCACAACGACAAAAAGATATGAAAAAGGCCCCCAAAAGGCTGAAATATCAATATCTTAATCAGCAAGCTAGCAGCAGTTTTGCCACTACAGCTGATGCGACTAAGAACTTTTTTTTTTTTGTAACAAACTCCAGTAGTCGACTCTTTGAGCTTAAAGTGGACGCTGACAACTATTTGTTTTTTGAAAACTGTGGACGTGCGCATAACTTTAACAAGCTAGTTGGTTAAACTCTTAACAAAAAGAAGACAAAACGTAAAACTTGACACACATTGAATTTGTCATGACTACCAAGTGAGCTGTGACGGTAGCCACCAGTTTGCGCGCCTAGCAAGGAGTCATGAAATATATACACACACACACACACACACACACACACACGCACACACACACATTCATACATACACACATACACAGACTCATGCACATATACAGTTGTGATAATCTAAAATTCTGATGGCGTTAAGATTTTACAGTTGACAGGGTGCATTTGTGAGCTAGCATGAGCCGCCAGCAGCACACGCTCTTAAAGCCGTGAAGTTTAACGAGCGTCTGGTGAACATGAAAGGCTCAGTAGCTTGTCCAATAAGAAGCAGGTGTGCGGCGCCGTAATGAGGGGGCCCGGCGGGCGAGCGGGCCTACACACCCCCAAGTGTGCCAGGCATGCTAACATCAAACAATAGCTGCGGCGTCTACGTCAATTTGCTACGTGAAGGAAAACTCGTTACGAGCCACGACGGCTGATAAAATACGCGTCGAAGACGATGCTGTCGCAACAGCGTTCGGCCAATGACAGAACAGAGTGACAGCACCGCATCGACAATCTCGTGACAACACAAATATGGACATGTAGGAAACGAGGCAAACTGCCGGTGGGCGGGGCCACTCGTTTATTTAAGGAGGAAACAAAGAGGGCGGGGATTACAAAGCTTGTGGTCATATTTTAAGTGTTCTATGTACAAAAAAAATTGGACCACGTGACATAAAGCTGGAAATAATCGAAATAGTTAAAAGACAAACAAAAAAATACTCTGTGTTGACAGGCCGTCTCTCATCACTTCTTGTTGGCGTTGACTCAGCTACGCACACTCGCTTAAGCAAAGCATTCTGGGAGATGGACATGACTTAAGTGGTTTCCTTGCTTCTTGACATTTAGCGTGTAGCTTAAAACGTCGCCTCGTTTTGTGAACCAGTGGCATACCAAAACTGTGGTTGCAAACACACACGTCAAAATAAGACAAAAGCGTGAAGAAACGAAAGAGCAAAAAATACAAATAAAAACTAAAACAATTCTTTTTTTTTCCCCACATCCGGATGATTGTGACGATTAAATGTTAAATAAATGTGTGAACATATTTACTGCACAATGACAAAAAGATATGAAAAAGGCCCCCAAAAGGCTGAAATATCAATATCTTAATCAGCAAGCTAGCAGCAGTTTTGCCACTACAGCTGATGCGACTAAGAACTTTTTTTTTTTTGTAACAAACTCCAGTAGTCGACTCTTTGAGCTTAAAGTGGACGCTGACAACTTTTTGTTTTTTGAAAACTGTGGACGTGCGCATAACTTTAACAAGCTAGTTGGTTAAACTCTTAACAAAAAGAAGACAAAACGTAAAACTTGACACACATTGAATTTGTCATGACTACCAAGTGAGCTGTGACGGTAGCCACCAGTTTGCGCGCCTAGCAAGGAGTCAAAAGAACAACAGATTAGCGCGACATAAGAGTTCGTCACGGTGATCAAACTCGCCACAACGCTGAGATAGCGAGGGTGGTAGAAATCGCTTCGCATTGAATTTGTGGTGACTAACCAGCAGGCTATGAAGCTAGTCACACACCTGAGCTGGCATGTAAGCAATGAAATGATGTCAAAGAAGGACAAAAAGTTAGCGCGATGTGACTGAAGTCGCTGCGAACGGTAACACTAGCAATGAAGCTAGCCGCTATCCTGAGTGACTGTGTTCACGAAGACATTGGGAGAAAACAATTTGTCTCTGCTAAGACGTGAGCTGTGAAGCGAACCGCTAGCCTGCGCCAAGAAATGGAGTCGCTTACCATTTGTGTTACGCTAAATTTGTCAATGCTGATAAGCTACCCGCTAGCCACAGCTAGCAATTGCACTGGGAAACGGAACTAAAAAGAACAAAACGTTTTGCTTCACTATTGTGTCAAGCGCATGACATTTTTGTGTTTTGAGCTCACCAAACGATCAGATTTGCCAAGCACGTAAACATCCGTCGTCGCGCGCTCGACATATGTCTGACACGCCAAGAAAGATAACAGAAAGCGGAATGTGTTGCGACGAGGCGGGGTCACACAATCAAATGATGACACAACAACAACAACAACAACAACAAAGTGATAAAATCAAACTTAAAACTTTGACCCTCATCTGAGCTCCAGTGTGCTAAAAACACAAACAGGAAGTACGACTACAACGGGCGGGAAGCGCATTCACGCATACGTGGACACACACACGCACACACACACACACACACACACACACACACACACACACACACACACACACACACACACACACACACACACACACACACACACACACACGCACACACACACGCACACGCACGCGCACACACACAGTGCTTTCTTTAAATGAAGAAGGACCACAGGGATGAGAAGGTGGTTTGTGAAGGCCAAAAAGGCACACAAAAAAAAGGCCAAAAAGGTAAAAAAAAAAAGAATAATAAAAAGTGATGAAAAAGAGTTTTGAATAAAGGAAAAAATGTGAAATGTGTTCTCCCCAGACTGTTTGATTGCATTCGTGTCCTCTCGCCTTCAGGGAGGTCCTCCCGGTCCCAGTGCCGGTCACTGCCTGACGTGGGGCCTGAGGGCCTGGTAGAGCCCCTCGAAAGAGGGTCTGTCCGGGATGTCGCGCCTCCAGCAACGCATCATCAGCTCAAAGAGGGAGGGAGGGCAGAGAGGAGGAGCATACAGGAACACCTATCGTGAGGGGGGAGGGGGGGTGGGGGGGTCAGGTCAGGAGTCAGCCCGGTCAGCCGTTCGGCTCGGCGGACCCGCCGTGCGGGATGCGATTGCGCTGACCTGTCTGCCCTGGTTCCTGAAGAACTCTCCAGTGTTGGCTATGACCTGTTGGTCCGTCAGCAGGCTGTAAGGTTGCTCTTTGCACAGCGTGAAGATCTCCCACAAGGTCACCCCGAACGCCCACACGTCGCTGGAGGTCGTGAACTTGCCCTGAGTCCAGGTCACAAGAAGGTCACGCAGGGCAGAGCATAGATGCAATTTGTATGTTCTGATAATGTCATGCATGCTTTGAAGGTGGTTTATGGAGAAGACTTGAACGACCGAATTCGCGAATATGTCGTGGGGGGTGTGGGGGTGGGGGGGCTTCACCAGCAGGATGCTCTCCCAGGCCATCCAGCGGATGGGCAGCACGGCGCGGCCTTGGATGCGGTAGTAGTCGCTGCTGTAGAGGTTGCGGCTCATCCCGAAGTCGGCGATCTTGATGGTGAGGCGGCGGTCCAGCAGGCAGTTCCTGGTGGCCAGGTCGCGGTGCACAAAGTTCAGCGAGGCCAAGTAGCGCATGCCCGACGAGATCTGCGCCGACATGTGCAGCAGGTCGGCCGGGCTGCCGTTGGGGGGGAGAAAGGTGAGGCGGGATCAGTTAACGTTTGCACTCAAGGAACCGTCGACGGACTCGCTCATCGGGAGGGCGGCTTCAAAGCACGAAGAACGACTTCCGCTCGGTCAAGGGGCTCATTTCATGATTCGATCTCCACTTTGGTCTGCTGCGGACATACATTTAAATCGTTTCATTGATGAAAAGCAAAATAGACGTTTACCATCATCAAGTAAGAATCTTCTTGAAAGACTGCGGAGCTGCACTTATCGCCGCTCATCACTTCAGGCAAAATTTGAACGTGCCTGCACGTGGGTCACTCAAAGAATTCCTTCCATTCTGAAAATCAATGTTTTTCCTTCATTCGGAGGTCAATTCAGTCGCATTTGAAAGTGCACCTCGTGAATCATTCATCAGTCATTTGTTTTCAAAAATGAGTTTGGGAAAAAAAAAACAAAAGCGGCCCGACGGAAAGGCTCACCTGACGGAGGGGATGTTGTTGGCGTGCGTGAGCGTGCTCTCCATCTCGCGCTGCGACAGGAACATGTTCAGGTCTCCGTTCTCCATGTACTCCGTCACCATGCAGAGCGGGTCGGACGTCACGCACACGCACAGCAGCCGGATGATGTTGCCGTCGTTCAGCCGCGACATGATCTTGATCTCCTTCAGGAAGTCGTTCCTGTTGGGCGCACGCGTCGTCGGGCCCAAAATCAGTCGCCGTTTGCGGGGCTCTCCGCTAACTGGTTGCGACCAACTGAAAACGTTGCGCCGCACCGGCGCAGCATTAGCTCGCAAACTTTTTTGCGAGGACACGGGGATATTTTTTTGTTGAATTTATGGAGGAGATAATTTACCAAGACGTACGTCACACGGGCTTCCGCTTTGTGAGCGCCGATGAATGGGCTGACGATTTCATCGGCTGAAATTAGCTCCCTTAAATTCCGCAAACATTGGCTTTTTTTTTTTTTTGGTGATGATTTCGCACACCAGACAAAGACAAAATCTGCATTAAAAATGGCCACTTTTGGCAGATTTTTCTCCCTGTTCAAAACCACGATAGGACAAAGTATTGGAAAACAGTCAAACGTTCTGCGTGTATTTCACATCATAATTGTTTGTAAGCGTTCTCGTCACCCAAACAGAAGTTGTTTTCTTCATTATATCGTCTCCCAATTGTTATGATGCTGAAGATAAGTGAATGCGAACCCCTCTTTGATCCTGCTTTTTACACCTACGCGAAGCATAAGCTGATTTTATGATGTGCATCTCTGATGACTGATGTAGATTGCGAGATGCTAAGTTTGTTCGTTTGGAAAATGTCAACGCAGAAGGAGAGTATCCTTCAACGCTCTTTGTACGATAGTTTTGTATTTTTCCCTTGCTCTTGCCCTCGCTCAATGTATAGTTTTTTTTTAACCGTAGTCTACTTCAATAACACTTCAATTAGAATGCATTGCCCATTCCATGTTTTTTTTTTTGTTTGTAAAAGGTATACCAAACAAACATTTTAAAACATTTTTTTTCAAGATTAAAGACGAATGCGTTGCAGCGAGAGGTGCAAGACAAGCGAAATGCACTTTGACGGAAGTACCTGGCCTGGCTAGTGGCATCCGCCCTCAGTTGCTTGACCGCCACCAACGCGGCCCGCCCGTCGCGGTCCCGCCCGGCCGCGTCCCTTTCTTCCTCGTCCTCGTCCTCCTCCTCGTCTTCGCCGAGGAAGGCGGCCAATCCCTGGGCCTCGCACAGGTGCACCTCGCCGAACTGTCCCTCGCCGAGCTTCTCGCGGAAGAGCAGCCGCTGCCGCGGGAACTCCGAGGCGGAGATGTCCTTGCGCGTCAGCGAGTCGACGGTGAGGGCGGGCACGGCGTACATGTTGCTGCCCGTCACCCCTTGCAGACGCACGATGTCCGTCTCGGCGTAGTGGGGCGCGTTGCTATGGAAACACTGGTGCGGCGTGCACTGCGTCACGTCGGGCTCGGCGTAGCCGCCGCCGCACGCTGCCACGACAAAACATCAAAAAGGCCGTCGGTATTGGAATCAAACGCTAGCGTCGCCGCTTCTTTCTCAACTGTGTCACCTGTGGGGTGTGGCAGGCTGAGGTCATGTGACAGGAGGTCAGCGTTAGGAGACTGGAGAGGGAAAGGCGGGAAAAGAAGAAGAGAAAGAAGAAGGCGGCCGTGTTGGGAATCAGTCACTCGTTTCCGACGCTGCTATCACTGTACGGCGTTCCCCCCGCTATATGCCGCGTAGGTTGACGATGACTGTCATCATTTCCATTAGCCCCCCGATGGTGTTTCCGTCGCATTAAGCTAACGTTTTGATGTTTAAATCTTGTTTCAGTGTTGGAGTAAACTTCAACGGGCAGTGACACGTCAACAGCTTGAAGCAGGAATGCTTTGCCCTTTTTACACGATTGGAAAAGTCGACACACCCCTGTTCAAACACCGGGTTGTTGTGCGGGAACGACGAGAAGATGAATCACTTCAAAACGGTTTCAGACATTCATGCAACCTACAACCTATGACGCTCAAGGAAAGAAAATTTTAAATCTTTTCGAAAGCGTAAGTCAAAACAAACAACTTAGCTAATGTGACTGCACATCCTCTTGTAAGAGGGACGTACGCATTTCGGACCATTCCCCGCACAGCCCAAGAAGTCAAGCGAAGGAGCACGCGGCTGACCTGAGGCTTCGGCGCTCTGCGAGAGTTCAGGCAGTTTGTTCCGGAGCGTCTCAGGGTTCTGGTACTGCGGATCCAACAGGAAGACTCGCTCGTAGTGAGGGTCCGACTGGGCCAGGCCTAGGGGGACACGTGAGCACACGTGGGAGCTTATTGGAACAGCTGAACTTTATTCATCGAAAGCACTTTAAATGGTATACTCTCTATAAACAATCTCAGGTCAAATCACATCTCGGGGGCTGCACTGCGGGCAGGGTTTAACGCAGCATACACTTGACACGATTCCCCCCTCCCCCGCCAGTGGCTTACCGGAGCGGGGGGGCACAGGCGGGGTCTGCAGGACGATGGTGTCGCTGCAGGACGACAGCCGCACCGTCACCTCCTCGCCCAGGATCCTGCGGGGACCCTGCGGGAAGGGAACGACCGCAGACATCAGAGATATCGTACACAGAAAAGAGAGCAGGCCTTCCTTGAGCCCGACGCGAGGATACGCGGGCGCAGCCGCCACGTCCAATGCGGCAGATCCGTCCCGCGTACTCATGCGAGTCAGTGGACTGAATTGCGATTAAGCGCGCCAAGACCCCGCCACTTCTTATCCTGCTCACCTTCTCCAGAACTTTACACACGTACTGACACCACAGGATGAGGAAAATGATGATGACCAGCAGCAAGATGATGGTCACCAGGCAGCCAATCAGGATGGGCGCCTTGCTGTCGTCGGGCACCGCGCTGGCAGACGGCTCGGCGCCTGTCAGGAGATAACAAACAAGATGGCGGCCGAGCGGGAAAGATGACCGCGGTGGGAATTTTGAGAAGGAAAGGGTGATCGGGGCATACCTGATATGGACGGGACCGTGCTGGAATCGCCGACGGGCGGCGGAGTCACCGACATGGATGCGTCTTCTGACGTGGGGCGCAGAATGACCACGACATGCGTATTTGTGTGTTGCCTTCGCAAAATGCACGTTAGTTACCTGACTGGAAGGAAACCTCGCTGAACATCATCCAGGTGTCGGCGAAGGCGAAGCGGCAGCGCAGCGCCGAGGCGGCCCGGCGCTCCAGCGGCACGGTCACGTAGCGAGCGCTCGGGTTCCGGTCGTCCAGAACCGTATGGAACACCACGGGCTCCGCCTCCCACGCGGACGAGGGACGAGGCTTGAACCAGCACGACACAGACGAGAAGATCTTCACGCCCCGGGAAAACATGTTGTTACTGTGGACCTGGCAGGAAGCAAAGAGGCAGGGCTTCAAAATAAGAGAGTGATCATGCCGCGCACAAATAAAGGACTTTTCTTACCCCCTGCCCAAGAAAATACACTGTGCAGGCTACCATCACGTGAATGTGTAGAATGTTTTTCAAAATAAGAGTGCCAGTGCACAAAGGAAGTCGGCAAGTTTTCAACATAAAGTGAGGCTTTACCAAAATAAGAGTGATGGCGCACAAAGGAATTAAACTCTCTGGTAAAAGAGTTTTATCCAAAATACACTGAATTACATTGAGTGAGCAGAACAAATGGTTAAAGTGAGTGATGTTCAGGCACATCAGGAAATGGACATTAACATAAAGACCTTTTTTAAAGCCATATGCTGCACACAGGAAGGAGACTATTCATGGAGGCTTTCAAAATAAGAGTGATGCTTCACACAGGAAATCATCGATCAGGTTAATGCTTATTTTCAAAATAGAAGCGATGTAAAACAGAACTAGGTGCTTCTTTGTCAATACTAAAAACCATGAAGCAGCACATAGGAAACATCCATTTGGGTGAAGGTTTTTGAAAATCGAGTGACACCCCCCAAAAAAAACGACCTTTAGAGGAGGCAGGTTTTTCTAAATAAAAGTGATACTACACACAGGAAAGGAAAAAAGTAAAGTAAGTCAAATATAAGTAGATAATTAGGAGTCATGCTCAGGGACGCGGGACAGTAAAAGGAAGTATTTCAAAGTTAGAGCAGACCTTCATTGAGGTGAAGTTCCTTTGTCGATCGAAGACAAAATCCATCTCCACGCTCTGGTCCGCTCCCATGGAGATGTTCCTCCAGCCCAAGTAGTCGTAGCCCGGCCACGCAGGGTACTGACGCGTCAGCAGGAAGTCATCCAGACCGACCACGCCGTCCGTCAGCTGGCCCAGACCGCCGGACAACTTCCTGTTGGGATGAGAGAGAGCATTCGGTCACACGGAGCTATTCGTGCGTGACCAAGAACACGCAAGGATGGTGGGGTTTTTTTTGTCTTGACCGGCCTCTTTTGGTGGGCGCCGTCGTAGGTGGAGTCGTTGAGGATGGCGGTGGGAAGGCCCGGTTGCGGCATCAGCTGCCCCTCGGGAGCACTGTACGAAATCAGACCGTCTGCCGGCGGCAAACGCAAACGTCAGCAACCATCGACTGCAAGAAAGCTCTGCGTGGGCGTGGCCTACCTTCCCAGTGGCAACCGTACAGCTCCACCCGCATGCAAACGGTGGACAGCTCGGTGCGGGGAATCAAGCGCACCCAGCGCGTCACCACCGGAGGGTGAAGGTCGTTGATGACGGGCGCGTACGCGTTCTTGTTGCCTTCCATTACCTGCGCGGACACATGCGTCAGGCTCCGCCCACAACCAGGGCATGCCGGGAAGCGCTCATGTTACTTCCTGCGGTGACCATGTGACTTGAGCGCAGGCGTTGTGATTGTTTCTTTTTCCTTCCTTGCATCTATCACGCCATCACACACTTCCTGTTCAGTCTTTGCGCTTCCTCGGCCCGCACAAATATTCACACACGTCGCACACACACGCGCGTGTACGCACGCGCACCCACGAATGCCCACCGTGCTTCCCAGACGGTTCTTCCACGACTTCCATATGACTCCGTCCCGACTGTAGTTGAGGCTGTATGCTCGTGCAAACTCGATGCCGTTGCGTGCGTAGCGTCCCTGACTGGCCACCACCGTCAGGAAGGTCAGACGACGCAAGTCCACCTGAACACATGTAGCATATATAGCATGACACATGAAGCATGGGGACATGTTAGCATAATAATAGCAGGTTAGAATGAAGCCTCGACTAAGCATGAGGCACGGTAGCGAGTTAGCAACTTAGCATGAAGCACGTTAGCATAGTAGTAGAAAGCGTTTTTGTATGAACCATGTTAGCATGTGAACATCTTCGCGGGTTAGCGTGAAGCGAGCATATCATCACTTCATCAACATGAAACTGCATGTGCGAAAACTGTGAATTCAAACAGAATCCCGGCTGCCATGAAGTGGAAGCTTCAAATATCATCCGTCTTGTTTCCCGGCGCTCTTGAACGCAGCACACGCCACTGACGCAGAGAGAGAAAGGGAGTCCAACCTGAAGGAACTGCAAATCCGAAGCATCCAGTTGGCCTTCGGGGCACCAGGCACCGTCGCCGTCTTCACGGTTCAACCTGACACGAGCGGCAAACGCAACGGCAACTTTAAAATGCACGTTTTTTTTTTCCCCCTTCGTCGTTTCAATCGGTGGGAGAAGAATGGTCACCTGGCGTACTGCGGTCCTGTGGTCTCGTGCCATTGGCTGGAGGCTGTGATGTCATCGTCCTTGATCCGCCCATCCTCCATGCCCAGGGCATAGCGACAGTGTGCTGAAACACAGGCGCGCGCAAGCCGTCAATCTCCTTCCTTCCATTCTCGTACCCCCTTTCTTTTCTTTCGTTCATTTCCCATCTTTTCCTCTGTCTCTTTTCTCATTGCCCGCTCACCCTTTGCGTTCCCCCATCACTCTCTCTTTCCCATCTCAATGTATTCTCTCGCCCGCTTTCGTACCTGGGTCGACTTGTGCGACGGCTGCTGCGGCGTGAAGGATGAGCAGCAGGAAGAGGTGCATGATGGGCCACACACACTACATCTCTGGAAACACACAAACACACTGGTCAGTTGATTAGAAACGCTTGCGCAATGTAACACTCGGCCCCCCGCACCTGAAGAAAAAAATAAATAATAATAGCTCGACAAAATATTAGGGACACGTTGAACTTCCATTTCTGTATTTGGCCACAAAAAAAGCCTCTGGTAGGAGCCACAAGTACCAAAAACCCAGTTTATGGGACTTCAGGTCGAACTACAAGTACCTTGAAGTTGAGGCGGAAATGTAGCTGTAGTTCCAGGAAGTAAGCAGGAAGTGACTCTTCAACGTCACATGACGGGTCACGATGTGACGTTTACAAAATCTATCCTATAATATTCAACACGAAGGGCATTTTGTTGATGGCAAGCGAGCCAGCGGGGTTGCCATCAACGTGTCTGCCGTGCCTCCCGGTGAACAATCAAAATGCTTGCTCAGGTTGTGTCATGTCAACATGTCAAAGTTCCCAGGGTCCCTAAACACACCTGATGAGGTGTCACTTGATGGCTTGCTTGCTCTTTCACTTCCCCCCCACTTTGTCCAAGCTTTCTGTCTTTCCTCTTCTAACTCTCCACCCGCCCCTCTACTTCACTCACTTTCAACTTGACTCGATCTCCGCAGAGGAATGTCACATGTGTTTCGGGGAGTTAACGATTTGTGATTGACAATGGAGAAAGCTGCTGCAGTTCATCCGCATGTGTTTCCACGTGTGTGTGTGTGTGTGTGTGTGTGTGTGTGTGTGTGTGTGTGTGTGTGCGCGACGTGTGGAGTGACCTACACACACACACACACACACACAAACGGCGCCAACAGCGTCATCCCAGGCAACCGAGGCGCCGTCATCGTCCATGCGGGATTTCATGCAGGAGGAATGTCTCACGGCATGTAGCGACAAGCGTGTTATGTCGTGTTTTGTTGGCGCGAGAGGAATGAGAGGAGCGCCTGAGTTGACATGTCGGAGGCGCACGCGCGTGACACACAACCAGTGGTTGGGAAGTATCGACGTACACGTTGTTACTGTAGTTCAGCAGATTTTTTTTTTTTTTTTTTTTTAGGCATGAGATTAATTTATTTACTGTCAGTTGTCTTCAAAGCGGAGTTCGCCATATTTATTTTTCAGAGATGCACCACTGTTTTTTGTTGTTCTTTTGACCTGGAATTAAAGGCGACAATCATGACTTCTACTTTTACCAGCCTTGCTCCTACATAGATAGGTACAGACTACGAGTACTTTTGGAACTTGGGTAGAAAACACAACTCAAAAGCAACACAAAGTATGTCATTTCTTTTCCTTGCAACTGTGTGAAATCTCAAAGTGGAACTTGGCAATACTGACTCTATGCTAAGATGCGCGCTAAGTGTTCAGGGTAGACATATGCCATTTAAATGCTAGCATGCAAATAACAATGCTGGACCACACACAATGAGTTTAGAAATATGACACTGGCAATAATGTGAGCATTTCGATACTAACACTACTGGCGCAATATGGCGCTAACAATAGAACACTAGCAAAAAAAGTGAGCACCGAGGTCATGATGTTGATGACGACGTGTTCGATGACAAAGATAAAATAAGGTGGATGCTAAGAGAGTTGTAATATAAGTTGTAATATAAGTACAACTTATATTGTGGATATAATATATGGATGCTAAGAGAGCTGCTCAGTACTTGTCCTCCTCAAATCACTGCTCTAGGACGTAATCTCTCAATCACACGGGCACGCGCGCGCTCAGGCGCGGACCTTCGTCAACTTCTGACACTCGTGCGTGCCGTTAAAGGATGACAAACATCGGTGACGCCATGTGGGCTCATCTTTTAGTTTGACGTAATCACCTTTGTCGTTGTATGTGTGTGCGCGCGCGCGCGCGTGTGTGTATGTGTTTATTTTTTTTTTACCTGTCCGCGCTCGCCTCGCGCTGTTCGACGTGCGCGTACCCACCGCGGCCGCTCGAGTGCGCGTCGTCGTCGAGTACGTGGCGACAGCCAAGTTTGACAGAGTTGAAGGAAAGTTGTTGAGTTCAAGTTTTAGGATAGTTCGCTTGAAGTTCCCTTCCAAAGTATCATGGAGGACAGACGGGTAGAGGAGAGAAGGAAAAAAAACACACACAGATACCTCACTTCCTTTTTCCGAGGCAGAGGCGGAAGAAGAAAATGCGGAGGGGGCGGGAAGATTGCAACCGCAGTGACGTCACGATGTCACATGACCGTCACGTCAAGCAGGACACAAATTACAACGATTTGGATGCATTTCAATACATTTCTTAACTTTGTAGACTCAAAATGAACGGTTTATTTGGTGGTGTATTCATGTTTTGCTTCAATTTGTTCCTTTTTCAGAAGAAAAAAACTTTACAAACTTTTAATGTAAGATTAGCTTTTGGACACCAGGCGGAAGCAGAGTGTTATATTAGATATCTCATGGGTTTGGCGTTTTTACAGAAAACGGTTCACACACAAACTACAACGTGGTCCCTGTCACCATGGAACACATCACATGCACTGGTTTCATGTAGAGATGTTGACGACAGAATCAAAAGTGTCACAGACGAGCAAAAAAACAGCGACCATGCACGACCAGCTAAAATGCAAGAAACATGACTTGCGACGAACAGTCTTTATGTAGTCGGCTGCTTAGCTTGTTGTGTCAGTTATATTTATATGATGACATGTTTACTTCGCTTTTTTTAAAGCCGGGCAGTAGGCAGGGGACACCCTGAACCGGTTGCCAGCCAATTGCAGGCCACACAGAGATGAACAACCATCCACGCTCACACTAACACCGCGGGACAATTTCGAGTGTTCAATCAGCTTGCACCATCCACGCTCACACTCACACCGCGGGACAATTTGGGAGTGTTCAGCCTACCATGCATGTTTTTGGAATGTGGGAGGAAACCTGAGTACCCGGAGAAAACCCACGCAGGCGCAGGGAGAACATCCAAACGCCACACAGGAAGGCCGGAACTGGAATCGAACCCGGTACCTGTGCACTGTGAGGTCGATGCGCTAACCACTGATCACTGGGCCGCCCGAATAATAATAATAATAATAATAATAATAATAATAATAATAATACCTGCACTTCACATCCACGTTTTGTATTGGTGTTACGCAAAATAATTTTTTTCGATGGGATGATTGGAAATATTCGATACCCCCAGCAGTAATGGAAAGTGTTTAAAAGAGTATGGGAAAGGTTAATAAGAGTGTAATGAAACATAATAAAATAATATGACAAATACATACAACCTTGAGGGTTTTCATCTGTCACGGGGAGACTGTTTCCCCCCCCCCCTCCCTCTTTCCGCTCATCCTGCTTGTCAGACAAAATAAGGGGGAAAGCGCTGTTTTGGCATGCTGGCGCATGTTTTTAACCGCATGAATGTTGTTAGTGAGGAAGAGGAGAGTGCGATAGTGCATGCACACACACACACACACACACACACACACACACACACACACACACACACACACACTATACACAGAGTTGAGTCACGCAGCTCGCTAAGCGCTCTTTGTATAGCATCATGTAAACCCCCTTTTGCCACTTCCTGTTTCCTGCCAGGAGTTTTTCAACACCCAACATTTCAACATCAAAAGAATGAGAAAAAAAAAAGATGAAAAAGAAAAAAAAAAGAAAGAGGATTCCTGTGTGCTTGCTCGCCGGGGCGCGTCCAGGGTGTGTGAATTTCTACACCTGAAACTCTCATTGACTAAATGTTGAGCAACAACATACACGCTCGCACAGATGGGCATACCTTGAGATCGGTCGCCTCTGTCTTCACCACTTTCTTTATCACCTGTCATCATCTTCATCATCACCGCCATCAACATTAACGTCGTCGTCTTTTGGCAGCCTTTATCACATAATACAGCATGAGAGTCCATTCATTGAGATGAAGCACAACAAGTAGCCAACATCTTCGGTAAAGTGGTTCTTCCTCAGGTGCTGATCGATGTTTAGGCCTCATCTCTCTCTCACACTAATTTGAATGTGTGAAATGTCAATCAAAGTTGTTTGGACTAATGGTACGCACTAATGATACAGATTAGCTCATCGTCATCATATTTCTGATCGTAAGTCATGTAAGGCGGGTTGGTCGCCGTGGTGGTGCCAACTCTCTGTGACGGCGACAGCGAGACATTCGCGGGGAGTTCCTGGCACACTTCACATTCCTCACATGCCCTTCAGATGTTCGGAATTCCAAACACGCATGTGGAAATCACATCAGACATCCATGGCATGAAAGGAACAATACTCACACACCTATTAGCTCATTCATAAAGTATCTTGTGTTAGCTCTTGGTAACATGTTCGGATGATTTGAGGCAACAATCGATACCGAAGCTAAAGATGAAATCTGTCATTGTGTTTGCATGCATGGCGTTTGTTTCCTGTTTCCTTGAGGTCGTCTTGTGTGTTGAAGTGTGTATTCTGCTCATATTTCGTCACGCTGTTTAACTTTCCCATGCCCGCAGTGTAGCTTTGCGTCCTTGTAACAATCATCACCTAGAATTGGAATACTCCCTGCTGAAGACGCACAAACTTTGGAACGCGCCAAGCTGAGAATCGGTTTAGGAGAAACGAAAGTTATGATATCACACTTTGTGTCTCGGTACCGCCCTTCTGATGGTATAAAAATGATGTGAATCTCTTCCTGCTTCGCACTTGTGATGCACAGCCATTGTCTGTAATTTGCGGCTGCCCGGAATATTTCGTTATTAAAAGCTTTGAAGGAACTGGTCATCGACTCCAGCCTTTATTTGGATAACCAACATTCTCCTCGTCCGAAATTCAAGGAACACGCGGGGGAGAGGAGGCCGCTCTTCCCCCAACAGTGTTAGCATTTGCTAGCATGAAAGCTTATTTTGTCCACGAGAATCTCTCTTCCTGTGACAGCTGCACAAAGTTTATGTGAAATTATGAGATCGATTTTCAAATCGAGCGATGTTCTCCCATGTGTGTTAGCATTTGCCATAACGTGTTAGCATGTTAGGCAGAGCAACATAACACTGAAGCTAAAGGTTAAAACTATATTTTGTGTGAATACATTGTGTTTGTTTCCTTGAAAATGTTGTCCCATGTGTTAGCATTTGGTAGCATGTTAGCATATTTTGCCCACTAGCATATCTCTTCCTGTAACACTTACACAAACGTTGTTAAATTACGCTAGTGGTTATTGAAAAGGCCGATGTTGTTCATGTTAGCATGGCTAACGTGGTAGCATGTATATTCGAGCACCATCCTATCCTCCTGTTGCTTCATTTGCTTGACGTCGTCACATCTGTTAGTATTTGCTAAACTGTTAGCATGTTTCCTCCCGCTGTAACTTATAGCTTTGCTAGTTATGCTAATGAGTTCAAATGGATTCATAAAGGTTGCTATGTCTGTTCTCTTTACCTGATGATGGTCTTGTGTGTTTGCATTTGCTAACATGTTAGCATGTTCAGCTCCTCCTCTGCCACTTGAAGAAACATAATTTGTTAAATGGTGCTAATTATTTTAAAAATAGGTGACGAGCTTTCTTGTGTTTTTGATTTCTAGCATACTAGCATGTTCAACCCACTAGCAGGACTCCCTGCTCCTGCTTTGACATGTACAAAAATGATTTATGATAAGGATAATGTGTGACAGTGTCTCATCTGGAGAATTTGCTACCATGTTAGCATGTTTACACGAGGACACTCGCACGTCTTCCTCCAACTGTGCCACTTCAGACGAAGCCAATTATGCAAGCGGTTCTTAAATTAATTCAAGCTGGAATTGTGCATTTGCTTCCTGTTTGTTACACAGGTTTCCATTATGTTTTTGACACATTTCCTCCAGCTGTGACATTTACACAGAATCAAGTTAAGGAAATAATTATCAAAAAGGTCTCTTAAAACTGTCATGCGTGTTGTGTTTGCTTTTGGCTTCCATGATCACATTGGAATCTGTCTTTTTTTTCCAGCATTACCCTCCAAACGCTTGGGTTTTTTTTTTTCGGGTGGGGGTGAAGTGGGGGGGGGGTCTGAATTTATTTTACAGTTCAGATGTTCGCGGGCCATCTAGTTGTGGTACTTCTTTCATGTAAAGATTTCTGGACGAGGCCTCCAGTGTCAGCGCAACTTGTTCCGCTCTGATGCAGCCGGGCAGCCTCCGCCGCCTGCGCTTTCCAGGGCTCCCCTTTTACACTTGGCGTTTCCTCCCTCCCGCGATGGGAATGACTCATGGCCCTGGAATGATGATGAGGCGTAGGAGGTGCGCGTTGGCAAGGAAGATTCAACACAAGACATTTTTGTACAAACCTGCTAGTGTCTCATGTAAATGCAAAAGACGACATTTATTGTCAAATCTACAGCAGAAGGAAAAAAGTCAGCTTTAAAAATACTGTTCAAAAGCTCAATTAGACCATCCCAAAAAAAAAAATCAATGTTGCCTTTTATAGCAGGGGTCCCCAACCTTTTTTGCCCCACGGACCGGTTTAAGTCAGACAATATTTTCAGGGACCGGCATTTAAGGTGTGGCGGATTAATACAACAAAATAATATGGTATGAGCTGCATGAAAACTGGTGTTTTCGAAATATAATAATAAACACAAGGAGCGTCTAATCTGGTCGCAACACTCTTATCGCTCTGGTAATGTTTAATGCCTTCAAAATACGATACAACGCAAATTCAAAGTGCATGAAAATGACGACTCACCACAGCCCCGAGCTTGATTTTCGGCAATCAGACAGTCCCATCTCGGGGTAATAGGAGACAATGACACCTCAAGTGTGTGGTTTATCTCGAGTCTACTTCGTAATTTTGTTTTAGTCGCCGTTGCTGCAGAAACTCCACACCTCACACAGGTAGGATGTCGGAAATAGCAACAGTGCTATTGTGGCGATCTCAGAGTATTCAGCCATAACTTTGATCCAGTTGTTTCGAACGTACTTTTAAGGCCACCGTCATTTGCGATCTCCAAGCAGCTTTTTTACTCATTTTGCGGGCTTCAGCGTTTTGTTTATGAGCGTCATCGGTCACCTGACCGAGAAGTGTGCCTTGACGTGAGTCAAGCGTGACACAGACGGATGTAACAGAGAATCCGGTAATTTTTCAAAATAAAACATATTTCGCATTCCGAAATAAATAAAACGGAAATAAGGCAAGTTCTTTC